AAAAAAAAAACTCAATTAAGGAAAATTTGTAAAACTGTGTTTAAAGAAATTTCCATGATGGAGTCAGTTCAGTGGAGACAAATTTCTATTTTGCTTCTTAAAGACTTCTCATTTCTGATGAGAAGTCGGATAAAGTTACATAAAACTCTGTGTTCTTTCTGTTCTTCCTATTATGACTTCCCTGTTTAGTTCCAAGTTATTTTCACTTCTTTGTAACAGGAATCATTGTGATCACATTGTGACAATTGATCCATGAGAGTAGTCTAACTGAGTGTGTGCAGTTGAGCCTGTTTTAAGACAGAACTTTCTTCAGATTTTTGTAAGAACTGCACTGAGTAGAAAATGCCAGGCCTAGATTGCAGGAAAGTGCAGACCTGAGTAGCAAACCTACAAAGATCTGGGGTTTGCAGTGGTCTTCCACCTTCTACACTTTTGCATCCTTGAGCGCTTGTTTTCAGTGAAGTGAAGCACAGAGAGGAAGAAAAACGATTTTAGCTTCAAAAACTGAACTAAAAGACACAGAATCTGTTCAAAATTAAGGTAAGAGCTCAACCTAGATTTTAAATTTTGGTTTTATATTTCAAAATAAATACAAAGGATTTAACATGACCATCCTAGAAACTTTCTGTTTGCTCCGTAATGGAGTTCAAAGTTAGTGCAGAGGGACCAGTTTAAGAGCAAATACAAAATGTTTTAAGTGTTTCAGAAATTGTTGTTTGTACGGAGTCGAAGTTAAAACTGATTTAATTTGTCAATTTGGACTCACAGATTTAAGTTTGAAACTCCAATAAAAGCACCTTTTTGGTGGCAGCAAATTCTTAATAAGTGTTAATTTTCATTTTGACGCTATTTAATTGGACGTATAATGATCTCAGTTGAGCTGTTTTTTTAGGAGAATTTATTTAAGTCGGTCCAGAGGAAATAAGTTTTTATTTTTCTTCTTTAAAACTTCTCATTTCTGATGAGCAGTCAGATAAAGTTACAGCAGCTTTACAGGAAACACCTTCACATGAGCTGTTGGTGAGATTAAATTAAAGAGCCACAAGAAATGTTTGACTGTTTTTCACTTTTTAAGTCCAACGCTGAGTTTTATTGTTTTTGACATACGACACAGAGAGAGGACGGAAACAGAGCGAGGGCTTGGTGGTTTCTCTGTAAAGTGTTCATGTGAAGAAGAATCTCTCTGTGGCTGTGTGTGAAATGAAAGTGTTCACGTTTAATTAGTTTTCTTGTTATGATGTCGTGTTAACAGTAATGTTCATTTGTGTTTTATTTTAAATCCTCAGGTCGACTTTCAGAATGAAGGTGATTGTGTTGTTTGTGTTTGGTGAGTGAATATACTTGTGAAGACAATATTGTGAATAATCCTTTAAAATACTGCACACACATGTTGTAGATGGTGTGTGACCTCATGTTTAATCTAATTAAAAAATAATTTATAATCTGATCTCAGGTTCTTTAATGTCACTACAGGTTTATGACGACACACAGAGAATATGACTGGTTTTGTCTCCATGTAGAGACATTTGTTATATCCTCCTTTAAATACTCATTAACACAAGATGAGTATTTATTTAATTTATTTGCCTTCTTCTCAGTGCTGGGTGCACTCTCTGCAGCAGGGGAAGTTTTCCTTGCAAATGTTGGGGGTAAAGTCACATTGAACTGTGGAGTCAACAGCTACAGAAACTCTCTGACATGGCATCATGGAAATGACTTTCTTCATAGTATTTATCAGAGAGGCTTCCCTCGCAAAGGTCTTTGATTATCTTGAAATAGTTAACATCAGTATATGATGATTACATTATATTAGAACATATTTTTATTTTCTGTGTTAGGCAGTGTTGAACTTGCACAGAGGTCAGTCGTGAGACAGACGAACCTGGAAATCTCCAGTGTGAGAGAAACAGATGCTGGACAGTTCACATGTTCGGCAGATTGGACACGTCATGAACATTCACTTCTTGTGTTCTCAGGTAAACAGCAGACCCTGGAAAATATACATTTACAAATAAATGTTCACATTTAATGGAGCAGTGATGGGTTTAATAAAAACATCACTGCTGTGAAATGAGGGGAATTTTTTCAATGTGACTAATGGTTCTGTAACTATAATATAAGAGCTTTAACATAAAAGTGTCCTTATTTTCTCTTGTATTTGTTTTCAGTAAACTGCTGCTTAGAGAAAAACCTATGGTGTGTTTCTATGTGGCAGTCTTGTCTGTATAACCAACAAACTTTACAGTCTGGCCTTCAATTGTTTGAAATGCAAAAATAAGAATCAGTTTCTGATGTAATGAATAGTCCAAGCCTGATCCTATCTTCACCAACTACTTCCTGTGATCCTGTCACTGTTAAATTTTTGGTGGTTTTATATCCATAACATTCTGACAAGTGTGTGAAATGGTTATTTGTCTATTAACATGCAGTGTAATATGCCGTTTTGTTTTTTCTTAACTCTTTCTCTCATGTTATAAAGCTGTGCCATGTGTCTAATGACTCCCCTTTCTCTTTCTGATTCTCACTGTATCCTCACCTCCGTCCTTCTCAGTTTCGGTCTCTGTGACTCCCTCTGCTGTTCTCAAACTGTGTGATGAGGCAACGCTCCACTGTGAGGTGAAACATCTGCTAAAAGGTTGTGAAGTGAAGTGGAAGAGCCCAAATGCTGATTCACCTGAATGGCCATCAACAGTTCAACTCAAATCTGTAACAAGCTCACATAATGGGACCTGGGAGTGTATCATCACCTGTGATGGCAAACAACTGAGTAAGAGTATTACCATAAAGGCTAATACACGCGTGCATGGAATGAAGGCCCATGTGTACATATGTGGTCAAAAGAAACATAAAGATTTGTGTTTTTGTTCTTCAGAGCCTCCAACTTCAACAACTCAACCATCCACCCGAAAGAACATCACATTATTTGTAACGAGTGTTCAGAAGACAACATGTACAACATGTACAACATGTACAACATGTGCGTCCAGCTTTTGAAAATGTCTGCAGATTTGATCCTTTGATCCTTTGCTGAATGTGTAACTCATTCTTGTCATTCTCACTTTCTCTTTCTCTGTGTTGCATTCAGGTACTGCCGACGATTGCCCACTGGGACTCTCCTGTTGGATGTGGATTGCAATGGGGGTGTGCTGCCAGTTTGGGATGTTCCTGATAGTTTGTGTCACAGTCTTGTGTAAGTGCATGAGTGGAAGGATGGTATGTGAGGAAAGGCGTTCATCAAGTATTTATGTATAGTGTTGATAGCTGTGGTTACAGATTATGTTGGTCTAACCTCTTCGCCGAATGTGTAACTGATCAGATTCATAGTTTCACTACACGAAGTCTAACTGAGTGTCTCGGATTATCTATTACACTCTTCAGTAAATCAGTAGATGTACAGATGAAGTATTTGTTTTGTTTCCTGGGCTTTGCTGAGTAAAACCGAGAACCACCTGAAATCTCTCAGACATCTGTTCAGGCTTTTCTCCCAAATTACACTTTATTGCCAAAAGTATTTATTCGTCTGCCTCCAAACGCACATGAACTTGAGTGACACCCCATTTTTAATCCACAGGATTTAATATAATGTAGGGTCAACTTTTTCAGTTATAACAGCTATAATTCTTCTAGGAAGACTTTCCACAAAGTTTTGGAGTGTGTTTATGGGAATTCTTGACTGTTCTTCCAGAAGCACAGTTGTGAGATCAAACACTGAGATGAGAAGGCCTGGTTTGCAGTCTCTGCTCTAATTCATCCTAAAGATGTTCTGTTCAAAAGTTCTTCCTTACCACAGTCGCTCATCCATGTCTTTATAGACCTTGCTTTGTGCTGTCTTGTAGAGGAACAGGAAGAGGCCATCCTCAAACTGTTCACACAAAGTTGGCAGCATGGAGTTCTCCAAAATGTCTTGGTATGCTGAAGCAGTAACAATTCCTCTTACTGGAGCGACCAAGCTCTACTCCAGAACAACAATCCCACACAATAATCCCCTCTACACCAAACTTTACAGTAAGTCCAATGCAGTCAGACAAGTACCGTTCCCCTGGCAACCTTTAAACCAGACTCATCCACTGGATTGCCAGATGGAGAAGTATGATTTGTCACTCCACAAATCATCTATCCACTGCTCAAGAGTCCAGCGGTGGCATGCTTTAAACCACTGCATGTGATGTTTTGCATTGTCTTTGTTGATGTGAGGCTTGGATGCAGCTGCTTGGTTGTGTAAAGCCCATCCCATGAAGCTCCCTGTGCACTGTTCTTGAGCTAATCGTAAGACCTGAAGTTTGGAGGTCTGTTGCGATTGACTCTGCAGAAAGTTGGAGACTCTGCACACTATGAAGCTCGGCATCCGCTGACCCTACCCTGTGATTTTACACAACCTATCACTTTATAGCTGCATTCCCGATCGCTTCCACTTTGTTATAATGCCACTAACAGCTGATTGTGGAATATTTAGTAACAACAACATTTCACAACTGGATTTGTTGCAAGATGGCATCCTATCATGGCACCACACTGGAATTCAATGAGCTCCTGAAAGCGACTCGTTGTTTAACAAAAGTTTGTAGAAGAGGTCTGAATGCCTACGTGGCTTATTTTATACGCCTGTGGCCAGAGAAGTGACTAGAACACCTTGTTCTACTGATGTCAGTGCTCTAATGGCAGCCAAACATTAGAGCGACTTTGTTGTAGCTTCACTCTTTGTGCTAACTCTGACTGTTGGTTTCCACTGCCATCAGTAGTCACCTTCAGTCCCCTCCTCGACCTGTTAGAGTGAGGAGATAACAACTAATGTGTTTTACAGAAAGAAAAGAAAGCACCAAAACAACTTGTTTTCCTTTGGTTTGGAGATCGTGATTTTTCAATGATTCATGTTTCGTTTTATTTTACTTAAAAAAAAAAAACTTTGTTACTTCTGTTGTGATAAATAAATGTCTTTCTGTCAAGCTGTGTGCTCTTTCAATTTTTGTTTCTGATATTTTTTTTCTAGTTTTTGCTCTACATGTTGTCAAAAACGGTGGATAATCTTCATGTTAATTGGTCAGCTAAATAGCTTTTAGGGTTGAGCACATAAGCCCCACTCTCCTGCCATTCTAATCTTGTATTTGTGAGGGGCAGCCAATCAGAAGAAAGTTTTCTCAAGGTGGGTAAAGCTATCTATTAGATAAATATTAACTAAATATTAGATAGTATTACACAAATAAGGCTCACCTGTCAATCTAAGTGGTCAGTTGGTGTGTTTTGGAGACGTTTTAATGGATTGTGTGACTAATATTCTGATATCTAATAACCATCCCAGAGGTTCGTGCTTCAGTTCAGGTGAGTGAAATTCAAGTGTTTTATTAGTTGTCAAAGGAGCTTGCAAAGAAAAGCGTCTGGACTTCTTTAAGTAAGTTCTTTAATAACTAATTAAGTAATTAGTTATTACTTTGAGCATATAGAGCTCAAACACATATCAGTAAGTATGTGTCTTATGTGCGTCATACTGTACAGTTTTTTGGATGCAGCTTTTTAACCAAGTAAGCAGAGAACCAACTGACCACCCTGAATGTGGTCTAAAAATGATGATGTTTGCCTTTGTTAGCACCTGGGGGAGGCTAATGAGGCTTCAGAAGATGGATTTCACAACCATTAAGTTATCGTGGCGACATCCATCCAAGAGAAATGCAGTGCAAGAGAGGGATGAGGACCAAAATGCAGCATACGAGGCAATTTTACTAGTAAATCGCACGGCCCTAAACCATTTACGTTTTTATGAAAGATTAAATTAGAAATACATACGGTAACCTTAATTGATGCTGAGGTGAAATCAGGTTTACAGTAGTAGTCTTTACTCAAAAACTTTTACATAATATATTTATTTAATGCATGGTATAAAACAAAATAGATTAGTTAATAAGAAACCTACAAGTTTATTATACATGCTTCCTCCTTCCTTTACTTATAATGTAGGACAGATGATAAATGCATTAAAATAAAATGAGGTAACTTTTGAGGTGCTTCAGCAGGGGGCACCATACTCCACATCTGCTCTGAACAGAGATCAATATCATAGCTGCTGATGTGTAAATCTGTCAAAAAAGTGAAAGTTTGAAGGATTTATATCCGTCTATCACCAACATAGCTGAAAGAAAAAGGTTTGTTTCATGTTTGAATAAGAAAATTGATGAGTTTCTACTAATGATTCCCGCTTTAACTTTTATTATGACATCTGTAACTGAGTTTGTCAGGGTGCATGGCAAGAACGGGACCCAAATGCAGGACCTTCCAGTCCGAGACAGTGTGTTTATTTATAGTGGCAATTAGTGAGCAATGTGCAACAGTTTCAATAACGTGGTTCCCGAGTCCTGCTCCATGCTTGTGTTCCTGTGACAGACAAACAACTGCAACACTTGATTTCACAGTCGCTCCACTCTCCTAAACCTGGTAAGACAAGAGGGGAAGATCAGTGACGAAATGCTGAACACAATATTTGAACACAAACACAACACAAAAGAATAAAACTGAGTTTAACTCTTTAAATCAGCTCATTTACCTTCATTTTCTTTTATATTGAAAACTATTACTTTCTTACTTCTGCTGTGATGAATAAATATTGGTCTTTTTTCAAACTCTTATGTTCTTAGTTGTATAAAGCGCTTTGAGTGCTCAGACAGAGTAGAAAAGCGCTATATAAGAACCAGTCCATTTACCATTTACCATTCTTTCTATTTTTCCTGTTATGACTTACAGACATGAGTAGCAAACCCACAAAGATCTGGGGTTTGCAGTGGCTAACAACTTTGCAGCTCTGTCTTCAGATGTCTTCCGCTTTCTACACTTTTTGCATTCTTGAGCTCTTGTTTTCAGTGAAGTGAAGCACGGAGAGGATGAAGAAAGATTTTTGCCGTCACTAAATGAACTAAAAGACACAGAATCTGCTCAAAATTAAGGTAAGAGCTCAACTTACATTTTAAAATAGGGTTTTATGTTTCAGAAGGATTTCTTATTTTTAACATACGACACAGAGAGAGGATGGAAATCGAGCGAGGGCTTGGTGGTTTCTCTGTAAACTGTTCATCTCTCTGTGGCTGTGTATAAAAAGAAAGTGTTCACTTTTAATTAGTTTTCTTGTTATGATGTCGTGTTAACAGTAATGTTCATTTGTGTTTTATTTTAAATCCTCAGGTCGACTTTCAGAATGAAGGTGATTGTGTTGTTTGTGTTTGGTGAGTGAATATACTTGTGAAGACAGTATTGTGAATAATCCTTTAAAATACTGCACACACATGTTGTAGATGGTGTGTGACCTCATGTTTAATCTACTTGAAAAGTCATGTAGCAATATGGTTGTTGTGGTGTTTTACTGATCCCAGGTGGTTTAATGTCACTCTACAAGTTTACGACAAAATGAAGAAAATATGACTTTTTTGGCTCCATGTAGAGACGTTTCATATATCCTCCTTTAAATAAGCATTGTTAAAAGACAAGTATTTATTTACTGTGATCATCTTCTTTTCAGTGCTGGGTGCACTCTCTGCAGCAGGTGAAGATTTCTTTGCAAAAGTCGGGGGTAAAGTCACATTGAAGTGTGGGGTCAGCAGCTACAGACGCTCTCTGCAGTGGCATCATGGATATGACCTTCTTTATAGTGTTGATCAGAGAGGCTTCACTCGCAAAGGTACTTGATTATCTCAGAACCCTTAACAGTAAAGTATTTGATGGTAACATTATAATAGAACATATTTTTATTTTCTGTGTTAGGCAGTGCTGAACTTGTGTGGAGGTCAGTCGTGAGACAGACGAATCTGGAAATCTCCAGTGTGAGAGAAACAGATGCTGGACGGTTCACATGTTTGGCAGATGGGACACGTCATAACCATTCACTTTCTGTGTTCTCAGGTAAACAGCAGACCCTGAAAAATATACATTTACAAATAAATGTTCAAATATAACCGAACAGTGCTGGGTTTAACATATTAGGACAAATATGGTTTTGTTTTCATTTTCCCTGCACATTACATTGATAATCAGATTAATAAAAACATCACTGCTGAAAAATGAGGGGAAATTATTTTATGTGGCTGATGGTTCTTTTACTATAACAGGTAAAGGATATGCAGCAAATATACAAAATGAATTTCTTGCACAGCATGTCTTGTATATGTTTTGAAATTTGGAGACTACATTTCCCAAAATCCAACTTAATCCCCTCCTAGTCAACCTGGTGGTGGGCAGGACCACCACAGTGTTAAGTGTGGCCACCCTGCCATTACTGGAGTCCATCAGGAGAAGGGGAAGCATCAGAGGGGCCACGAACATATGCTGGGCTCTAGAATTACATCCATAGCTATTAAATATTACATAAGACACAACTATTAATTAATAATTCTATTTTTTTTATACTATTAACTATATAAACAGAATTTTCTTTAAAAAACTACTTTAGCTTTATTCCTTCGTTTTTTAATTTCTTTTTGTCAGATAATTGAATAAAAAGCTTACTTTGTGTTTCTATATGACAGTCATGCCGTGTAAGCAAATTATAACAGTGACCAAAAAAACCAAACCAAACCAAACAGTCCAGGACTGCTCGTTTCTCTCACCAGCTGGGTCACTACTTATTACCATCCCTCTACAGTTAAATGTTTATTTGTGTTTCATTTCACCAAAAATGTTCCATGTGTGAAAGAGTTACCACTTTTACTTTAATTCTTAGTGTAATATGCTCTCATTGTATTTCATCTCATGTTATAAAGCTTTGTCATGTGTGTAATGAGTTTGGATGAAGCTCCTTGTTGGTCTCCCTTTCTCTTTGTGATTCTCACTGTATCTGTGGTTATCTGTCTGTTTCCCCTCTCAGTTTTGGTCTCCGTCAAACCCTCTGATGTTCTCGAACTAAACGATGAGGCAACGCTTCAGTGTGAGGTGAAAGGTCAGCACCATGGTTGTGAAGTGAAGTGGAGAAGTCCAAATACATATTCACTCACAAATACATCAACAGTTCAACTCAAACCTGTAAAAACCTCACATAACGGGCCCTGGCTGTGTATCGTCACCTGTGGCAGCAATACATTTAGTGAGCGTCTGGCCATCACAGTACAAGGTAATACACAGTTACTAGGAATGAAGACCCTTGTCCACATATGTAGTCAATAGAAACATAAAGGTGTGTGTTTTTGTTCTTCAGAGCCTCCAACTACAACAACTCCACCATCCACCATGAAGAACGTCACATTGTTTGTAACGAGTGTTCAGGGTACAACATGTACAACATGTGCGTCCAGCTTTTGCAAAATGTCTGCAAATTGGATCAAAGTGATCCTTTGTTGAATGTGTAACTCATTCTTGTCGTTCTCACTTTCTCCAATGATCTGTGTTGCATTCAGGTGTTGCCAACGATTGCCCACTGGGACTCTCCTGTTGGATGTGGTTTGCGATTGGGGTGTGCTGCCAGTTTGGGATGCTCCTGATAGTTTGTGTCATTGTCTTGTGTAAGTGTATGAGAAGAAGGAGGGTATGTGAGGAAAGGCGTTCATCAAATATTTATGTGTAGAGTTGATAGCTTACGATAAAAGAAACCAAAAGAAAATGGGTTAAACGCCTCCTGCACCACTGTGTTTACAGATTATGGTGAACTTCTTCTTAAAGTTCTTCATTGATTGTGTAAGTGATCAGAGTCCTGATTTCACTCCACCAAGTTCTTACAAAAGTTCTGGCACACTTCACAACTCGCAAAATTCTAAAAGAGTGTCTCAGATTGAGTATTACACTCTTCAGTAAATTGGTGCAGATGTACAGATGAGGTGTCGGTTTGTTTTCTGGGCCTTCCTGGGTGAAACTAAGAACCAACTAAGATCTCTCAGACATCCGTTTAATTACACTTTATTGCCAAAAGTATTCACTCGTCTACCTTGACACGCATATGAACTTGAGTGACAT